TTCAAATTGAAATGCAACATTAAAAACATGATCTTTTACCGGGACAGCTAGTTATATTTATTATATTTAGATATTTTGCACAATAATCTAGTACAGTATTTCTCAATTTTTTTTGTCGTGAGGCTCCCTAAATTTAATGTAAAACTGTCAAGGCCCCCTTAATCAAAATTATTAATTGTTTTTTCTAAATTAGGTATATACTAAAATTACTTGTACTATTTCACACAGATTAATTATTAAAATGTATAGTAATTTAATATACTTTTGAAAAATATTAATGATAGTATTAAAATTTAAGTATTTATTCTTTTTCCATAAACGCTTAAAGTCAAAAAATAAAAATAAAAATAAAATAATAAATTTTTTTACTAGTGTGCCTGGAAGTTCTAAGTACATTGAACCCTACAATAATCTTAAGCCGGGATCCCACGACTCGTGTATTTGACGAATATTTGGTATTCGTGGATACTCGCCGAGTAGTGGGAATGGAGTACTCGTACGAATATTCGGTATTCGGTATTCGTTATTCCGTATTCGCCACCTTCCCGTCGATTGTCGGTAACTTGCCGATTATTCGAGTATTCGTGGATATTCGTCAAATACACGAGTCGTGGGATCCCGCCTTTAAAAGAAAACATGAACACGTTAATCAATCGGAATCGGAATATTGTTCTTTAAATAAACATTTTTCATTTTTGAAATTTATTTTCTGTAGAGTACATTACCATGTTTATATTTAATATTTTTAAAAAGGAGGTGACAAAGTCCCCGTGATAAAAAACAAAATGTTCAACCCCCCCCCCCCCCCATTGAAAATTCCTGAGTACGCCCCTGATCGTATAGGTATACTTATAAGTCAATAACTTACACTCCTAATATTAGTTCGTATATAAATCCTTAACTTTTTACTTATTTTCGGCAGAACAAACAGGGCAATCATGTGTCCGGAAATAGAAGGACGTCGTCTCCGAGCAAAACCCCGAAACCGACCGGAAACAACACATGGTTCAAGTCATTGGACAGATTGGACAGACCGCAGAATAGGGCCAGTTCGGGCGAGGAGTCGTCGTTGCTGGACGAGGTGATCATCCGGACAACCAGCCGCACCGGCAAGCTCATCAAGGATGACCGTTCCACGTCCCGGCAGATCGGCCGATCCATGTAGTCGGCGAACAGGTCAGCCGCGGGTGGCACGTTGACGAGGATCAAGACGAAATCGTAGTGGACAACGATATTCAGTGTTCTAAAGCAAAAATGTCAACATTAATAATAATAAAATAATAATATTAATATAATAATAATAGAAAATAAAATATAATAATATATAATGATAATGATGATGATGATGATAACGCATACAAATAATATGGAATATAATGTTACAAGAAACTGTCCTGCCACCGATCAACAAAACAAAAAAAAAGATCATACCGATAATTAATTACTTACCTAACAAGTTCGGCGGCAGTACACCATCAGCTGGCGACATTAAAAATATTTTTGACTTTCCGGTTTCGCGAACAGTGTAGCTGCGTGGGAGCGCTATTATAGTTTTCATGCTAGTAATATTACAATATTATGTTGTGATTATTATTGACCTTTAATACGACTTTTCAATAACTACCATTTTAATCATGTAATAGGGTGGTCCGCCTATGATCGCATTTGTCATAATATTATATTAATAATAACTGTTACACGACAAAGAGTAAAAAATTGACACGTTTCCTAGTTTTCAAGAGAATCAAAATAGATGTTTTGATTTTAATAAATTTTATTAATATTATCAGCAATTAAGTATTTTTTTTACTAGGAAATTCGGATTTTTTGGTAAAATACATTTCCCCCCCCCTTTTTTTAACATTTCACGGTTTTTATTTCGTGTACATTTTGTGAACTTTTTTATTATTTAAACCATATTGGCATATGTATGTGACTATTACGTTGCATCCCTGGCATATCCATTTATTTTGTTTCCGCATATTATGCTGTAGTAAGCCGGCGCTTGTCCTCCAAAAAATTGAGCTTGTCGTTTATTCCTTATATTATTTTCGTTTAGACCCATTTTTTAAGCAGACAAACATAGTCAGTATCTAATATCGTAATTGTGCATGGGAAGAAACCCATTTTTCTCAATACAATAGTATAAGCATTTTTACTTGGTGCCTAAGTGTAGCTTATAGTTAGACCCTTTTGCCGTGTAACCATCGATATTGTGTACTGTGTAGGTTCGATCATAAGTATTCGTGAGCCAATATTCGTTACCAGCGCCCAGTTTTATTTTTTAATCATGCGGTGCACATAATATTATTTAATACCACACCGCGAGATATCCGGACGACTATGATACGCCGAGTGTACCTGGGGGAACTGACATATAATAATTAATATTCATACGTATTTTTTCTCTGTAAAATTGTCAGATCTCTGTGATACGCTCAGTATACATTATACGTCATAACTCATAATATTATGATACGTCGATATGACATCATTATTCTTCCTAGTCAAATAACCCCGTAAAATGTAATAAACAATTTTTATATAATAATGATGAATTATATTTACTATTTTTATTTTTATTTTTATTAATGTAAATACTTTTAATTATCGTATAGATATGTTGTACATATAATAATAAATACCAATAGAATAACCAAATTGTTATCGTATCCGTCTTCTCGTGAAGTATTTTCTGAAAATCCTACAACTACATAACGAAAATTTTATAATAATAAATTAATAATAATAATAATAATAGTTATAGTAATAATAATACATATTATAACATATTATACTTAAAATACATATTTCATACGAACACACTTTAATTCTTTGAGGTTAAGTTACATTTTTTTTTTGATTAAAAGTCTTTTTATAAAGCTATATATTATAGATATTATTTTAGTTATTATTTGGATTTCCAATATTATTACAACCTCTATTTATACCCTTCTTAATATGTACTGACTAAGACTACGGCACCACGACGAAGAAAAAGCGGCGCATGGGCACCATTGCTATCTCTCCAGGTTTGCGTCCATCGAGTCTATAACGCTCTGCTTCTGGAGAAGGGCGTTGTTCAGTGCGTTGATCTCATTCTCGTACGTCTTCTTCATTCGTTCCAGCTCAGCAGACTGTTCGTACAGGCGGCCGCTCAAACGGTTCACTTCCTGATGCGCACCTTGTTCGACGCACTGTAACACAATACAATCGTCGTCAGTGGTGTACAAATCTGGTGGGTAAAGTGGGCAAAAGATGAAGTACCATTAAGGGATAACAAAAAATAATTCTTTTAATTGTTTATAAACCTTTTGTCTCATTACATATCACACATAAGTATAATATATTTATATAGGTAGGTACATCAAAATATATGATCTGCGTAGTCATAAAAGTAAAGAATCATCAACGTTCACAATATAAGTTTACCTATAATGATAAGTATAACGGTAACTTTAAATAATTTACTATTTATGCCACTTCAAGTTGTTGATATACAATATAGGGTAAACATGTGAAATTCTGTCCGGAGTCACCATGTTATTATGTTAGCGTTCAAATTGAAAAATAAGATTGAAAATAGACCTAAAGGGCAATAAATGGTGAGCAATATATTGCTATACACTATTATACTAAGTATACCGGACATACGTTGACCCGGATAACAAATTTACTTAGGTATACCTATATACTACCGATATACCTATACTGCCTGAAGAAAAATGCCACCTGTAGCCGGGATCGAACCGGCGTCGGTGCGCGTCGCAACCGACGCCTTAGCCCGCTCGGCCACTCCGTTCCCTATTATTGGTATTGTACTACCTATTAACTATATTATTACATTGAATATTGTATATAAATCAAACGATATCCCTTCGACGTTGACGGGCGAAAATAATAACGTTGAGGCACATAATTAATACATACCTTTAGGTGTTCGGTGAGGGCCTTCACCCGGGCGCTTATGGAGGCGCTCAACACAGCGGCTGATGCGTCATTCCGTCCTTCGCCGGCCGCGTGACGCAACAGCGCCTCCTGTTCGTTGATGGTTTCTCGCAGGAACACCATGGCATCCGCCAACTGTTTCTTGTTGGTGTTCTTCTCCGACTCACAATCGAACAGGTGTTTCTCCAACGCGTCACATTTCGCTTTTAACTGCCTGCAAACGATAAACGAAATGCGTATTCATAGATACTTCATAATAATACATGTCGAATACGCACGTCATAAGGTGAATCTATATATCAAAATGCCCAATGGTTATAGTTTACAAATATCCCGTAAAGCAAAGCTTAAAAATCCAAATAGGATAAAATAAATGAAAAACCCATTCGAATAATCCTCACGTTTCGCTAACGTATAGTTGTGATATTATTATATGAATAATAAGGCATATACTTTCTAGTTTCTACAACTTAAAACTATATACGCGAAAAATGGTTAAGCGTAATTGTTTTTCCAATCAATAATTAGATATAAAATACATGTAAGTCACGAATAACAAGAGTCAACAAATGTTTAGTTAGGTTAGGTTATGATGTAGCTGTATATAATATATTTGACATAAACACACAATTATAATATGAGTCTTACGAGCACTGTAAATCCAAAGCTTTGTTGATGGACCGCTGTTGATTTAATTCGGTGGTCAGAGTAACGATCCTGATGTCGAGTGTAGGCCTCTCCTCTTCAAAAGTTATCAATCTTCGCATCAACGTATCACGTTCGTCATCGTAACGGCATTTGAGTTCTTCGAAAAGTCTACAAAAGTGTTAGTATAAATTCCATGTTTATAAGTTTATATAACATTCATACAAACAATCATTAAACGTTGGTTTATATTTTAACCGTTAGTATTAAAGTAAAGTACCTACTAAAGTCAATAATCGAACCGTCGACATCGATTTATTTTGATAGTAAATGAATTATTTTAAATAATATTGTTGGCGTAGATACAACAGTAAGAAAAAATACTTAAGTATACCTCCGACACTCGTTCACGGCAGAAGTGTGCACAGCAATTGGAATTTTATTATCATCTTCAGTTTTCATGCGATTCAAGTCTCCAGCTAATGAGGACACACGACCTTGCAAATGAAGAAGCTCTATACGGGCATTCTCATATTTCTCAGCTAGATGGTCTCGTTCGCCATTTAATTCAGTAACTAAAATATAAAATATAAGATTTAAGACGTCATAGACAAGTCATTACAAATTATAAATATTGTTTGTACAATTGGAACAAATGTACTTTTCCAGCTCCCGTTTCAATGCCAGGTGTAATTATAATAGTAACTTATTATCCATACTCATCTGTATTATCAGTCACACAACGTAACAAACTTTAAATTGTATATTCTGAGAGGAACAATTTATTGGTTTTAGAATCTTTAGTTACATTTATTTTGTGTCTATAATTACGTTATTGAGCAGAATATATGATAAAATCTTAAAAATTAAGAGTTATTTAATCAAGGTAGAAAATTTGACTTAGATGGTAGTTTAGGTCAAAAGTAGAAACATTTTTCTAGAGAACCTAGAAGAGTTTTTAGAGAGAGCATTCTAAATTCCCGATTTCTATAAATGTACTTTAAATTTTAATACAACACAATAAACTGTAATTCCAAATATAATTTAAACATAATTTGGAAACATTAATATTTTGGTGGTATATTCTGGGTAGTATGAATCTATCTTAAATTACCTATATGGCTATATAATAAGTAATCATCTTAATATCAACAATTGTAGTGCGGTGACTAACATGTATAATGCGGTAACTAACGGACGGGCGAATACAACAGGGATAATAAGGTATTCTAAACCTATGTTTAGAAACCTAAAACAAACAAGTAAAAACTAGTAAAATTCAATATTGATTAAAGTCAATAAAATAAATCCTGAGTATAAGCGCCTGCACCAGTTGTAGGTAGGTATCTAAAAATGGCTAAATTTTAAATAAATTTATAAAATATCGTACCTTTGTGGCTATGTACGATTATATATTTATATAAATATATAGATATCGGTAAATGAGTATTTATTTATTTTTTATAATTTATAACAGTGATGGGAACATTTTTTTTTAGATTTTGAGCGTAATTGTACTTTCTTAAACTACTGTGAAGTTGATGTCTAACATAGGTGTAATGCGTAAATTTAGTAGTTGGGATTTGGGAGGGTTGAAGCACTACAATATCGAATAAACTTAAAAAAAAATTAGGAAATGTTTGGGGTCCACAGTCCACCATTCCACCCCATCCATATTTTCGCCCATCATGTCTTTAAATTTTAACCAAAAATAATATTTTGTTTTAAATATTTTCAAAGAAATAGTGCAAATGTGCAATACTTTGGTTTTTGGATAAGAACACATTATTTTCCAAAAATAAAAATATGATATATTAATATAATCTAAGAGGTTTGTTTACATTTTTTCAGATACCCTTCGGGATTCAGAGCTTCTGCAGTTCTGCTAATATCCATTTGGTCACCAATTAGATGTTAGCACAGAATACTATTATGTTAGAAATGTTAGTATCGAATTTAGTGTAATATTCTGATATGATGTTACTACCGTTATCACTTATCACTTATTAGATAAATCAACAAAATACACGATTATAAAGAATGATCGTGACAGAATAATAAATATTAGTTTATTGTTTTGTTTTTGTACGTCACGTCTTCACTGCTTCAGAGTTCAGAGTACTCAGTTGTTGTATAATAGTCAGTAGGTCAGTTTGTGTTCGGTAGTTCGGTTGTTATTCAAATTCAATGTTGTTCACAATGTACTGTTGATACTTGTACAGTTGTTAACTTGTTCATTTTAATGTATACTAGCTCTAAGTGTAACTCGGGGCCCGTTGGACTCGCTGAGAATGGGTACCGATTTTTGAGACAATGTCGTTGGAATTATAAAAGTCGCAAAAGGTTGTAAGACGAAAGTTTAGGATTTGTGATAAGGATTAGTGATATGGATTGGAGATAAGGCTAGACGCTTAGGCGGGAATGTTAAAAGTTTGAGCGTCTAACAATCCGTCACAAACGTTGTAAATGGATAGGCTGGATCTCCAGGATCACCTATACAGAGTATACCTGCACATAGAGTGGTATGTGCCGTAGCGTGACCGGTGCTTTATCTTATGTAAAAAGTGTAAAGTCGAAAACCGTGTTGGAGGTTCTAGCAAGTCAGTCATCTCAAGTCAAAATCGATTAACTTTCAAGTTAGGCAATCCGACTTTTGCCGCGGTGGATTGCAGACTTGACGTCAAGCGGCTATAAGTGAAAACCCTATCACACAACTTACGAAATAATTTACGAAAAATTCAAACTTTATACAATATACATACAAACAAATATGATATGTATTTATTGTGTGATATAATATAACAATGAACATTTTGAGAAATGTGCAATTAATAATTATAATTCCTAAAAAAAATTAACATATAGATACACAATATATTAACCAATACAATACATATAAACATGTACCTGTAGTGTATATATTACTATCCTGCGGTGGAGTGCAGAGCTGATGTCTAGCGGCCATAGCCTATAACTGAAGAGAAAAAATAGTATTTTCAAAAAACCCAATCACACATCATTTGAAATAATTTACGAAAAATAAAACAAATATAATTCGTATTTATTGTATGATATAATATAACAATGACATTTTAGAGAAAATAATATGTGTGTAAATTCCTAATTATTTAAATAACATATATTATAGCCTATAGGTACAGCCGTATATAATGTAATATTAGCCAATAAATATTAACATGCTCCTGTATAGTGTATATTATTTAATTTATATGAAAAATAACGTGGAAAAAAAATGCAAATAAAGTCAAGTTTCGGGCGGCCGTGTATACAATACGGCTACGATGTATTGCCGCCCGAAGGGTGTTCGTCGGATTCGAACTCGGGACCTACGTATTTCAGAGTCTAGAAATCTCCCATGGCCCATGAAAGTCGGCAATTCAATGATACTATCCCCTAGGGTATGTCCGGTGCTTTTTCGTATGTAAAAAGTGTAAAGTCGAAAACCGTGTCGGAGTGTCTAACAAGTCAGTCATCTCAAGTCAAAATCGATTAACTTTCAAGTTAGCCACCTAGGTAGGCAATCCGAAATAAAATACAAGCTTTATTTACATAACAATCATGGAAATTTTGAAAAATATGTAATTATAATAATTCCTAATAAAACAAATATAACATGTAAATATATTTATTGTGTGATATAATATGACAATGACTTTAAATAATAATAATAATGTACGATATGTTCCTGTATTATTATATTATTATTTAATTTATATGAAAAATATAGTGAAAAAAAAAATGCAAAAAAAGTCGGGTTTCGAGCGGCCGTATAAACCATATGGCAATGACGGTTTCGACGCCCGGACGCATATTAGCATTCTGGGGTCGGTCTCGGCACCGGTTATCATTTTAGCCTTCTGATTGGTCGTTTCTACTATCTATATAAAAATCTAATTTTCTTATCATATTATATCATATTATATTCTAGACTACTTGAGACATAATCTATATATAGAGTATGAGTAGGTATCATTAACCATTAAAAGGGTTTTGACTTTTTGTAGGAAGCTTTTTAACTAAAAAATTCTTAAAATGTTTAAATTAGTGGAATTTAATAATAATTCATTTCGTTCTAATATGTTTTCTGAACAAGATATATGTAAATGGATTAGTATTCATAGTAAACAGACCAATACAAGCTGGTGTGTGAACAATAAATTGTCAAACAGTGAAAGTTCAAGATATGTTTGTAGGTAAGAAGTCAATACACACACACACACACACACATATATACCAGCAGTATTTATACAATTATATATTATCTACCTATTTTGTTAAGTTAAAATAATTGGTATGGTATTTTAGAAAAGTTTATATGTGTCACCATAGTGGATTTAATAAAGTTAGTATTGACAACAACAAAAAAGGGAGATCAAAAAACACAGAATGCAAAGCTCAAATTGACATTAAAATTAAACTTAATACTAAGGACACAAGAAAAAAGGATAAATATATTAGAGTGAGTAGATACTATATATTCAACTTTCATCCATTTATTTTGCTTACTATAGCATAATTTATAATTTAAAATAATAGGATGGTTTACCAGCAGTTGTTATATTTGTGAATGAACATAACCATAATTTAGCTTCTGCTGAAGCTTTATCTTTTTTAAGACCTACCAATGAAGTTAGAATAATATATGAAAATTATTTCAATGATGGTTTAGGTGAGTATTTATCTCCTCTATAATAAATAATAATTAAATAATAGCTATTTACCTGGAAGTTAATAGAATAATAAGTAATATAATAACAGTACAATAAATACAATATCCTCAGATACAAAATATGTGCATACTACAAACATTTAACTATAAAAATTAATAATTAAATTCAACGAAATCAACATTTTTACATGTTATAATATTATATTACTTTAGGGAAAATTAGTTAAATATTTTGAAACAATAAAAAACTAAAATGTATGTACAATTACTCTGCCTCATATTACATAATAATTTAATTTAAAATTAGTTTTAAACTGTTAATTTTAAACCCATTTCTCAAACAGCTGAGTGTTTGAGTTGTAAAGAAGTAGGTAAATCTTGGTATAATTGTAATGTTTGTGTGGGATGGCATTTTTGTATGAATTACTATTACCCAAAAAACTGTATTGTAGTGATATTGAAAATGG